GGGGGAGGGGACGCACCGCCCAGCAGCGCCGAGAACAGCAGTCTTGAGGCCCATGTTGATCTAGAGGTTGCGTGAGAGAGCGAGAGCGAGGTGAAGGAGAGAGAGCCGGGTGGACGCGGCGACGACGAGCACCGAACTCACCAAACTCACCCGCAGCTCCGATAGAGCCTCGAGCTGGCTGGTTGAATCGGTTACATAGTCACACACAGACTGAGCCACACTGACAACCACTCGAGAGAGAGAGGGAAACCGGACCGGCCAAGTCGGCTTGGTCGTCTCGCTCTCGCTCTCGCTCTCTCGTCGCCACCCGACTGTCGAGCGCATGCAGCACTACTCTGTACCCGATCCGCTCCCTCTCCTTCCGTGCGTCCCACTCGCTCCCCTCCCCGTCGGAACGCACAGCTCACGCCGCCCCCACTGCAGCTTGCCCGAGCCGAGCGTCCTCTACCCCGGCCAGCTCCTCTCGCTCCACCTTCAGTCCGTCCACGCCCTGCACCTCGTCCGCGCCGTCGTCGAGGTGAGCCCCAGCCCTCGCCCTCGCCCGCGCCCGCCGCCGCCACCTCGCTGACCCTCGCTCGCCGCGACTCGCAGGCCTCACCCGGCTCGTCCTCGACCCCGGCCCTCGTCATCGGCTGCGTCCCGCTCAAGCCTGCCGCCCTCGCCACCACCGACACCGCGACCGATCCCGACCCGTCACGAGATGGCCCCCACGGCCGTGCTCCCGACGACGCCGTCCGCCCGGCCCACGAGGGCGGTGGCGCCGCCCAGGCCGACCAGCGCGACAAGGGCCTCGAGGTGATCCGCTTCCAGGGCGACAAGAACGGCGACGCCAAGCCCGACCCCAAGGACCTGTTCGAGTGTGCGTCCGGCTCCTCTCCCTCCTTCTCTCTCTCTCTCTTCCCTCGACCTCCCCGACCTGACGAGCCCACACTCCCACAGTCGGCACTCTCGCGCGCATCGTCCGCCTCGAGCGCCTGTCGTCGCAAGCCGGCTCGGGCCTCATCGTCGTCCTGTCGGGCCTCGCGCGCTTCTCGCACTCGCCGTCGGCCCTCGACCCGAACGCGCCTTTCTACTCGGCGTCGGCCATCACGATCCACAACGAGCCGTCGAGCGTCGCCCTGTCGAGCACGTCGACCGCCGACACGGCTCTCGTCGCTGCCCTGCGCGACGCCGCGACGGCCCTCGTCGACACGCTCGCCGCGACCTCGACCCTCCCGCCGCCCGTCATCCGCCGCCTGCGCGCCGTCGTCGCCCGCCTCACACCCTCGACCGCGCCCGCCCTCCTTGACGCCCTCGTTGCGGCCCTCCCCGTCCACTCGACGTCGGGCCTCACCCACGCCGACAAGGTCGCCCTCCTCGGCGTCCTCCCCGCCGCGCAGCGCATCGAGAGAGGCCTCGAGGTCCTCGGCCGCGCCGACGAGGCGCTCAAGCTCGCCGGCCGCATCGAGGGCCGCGTCGAGGAGGGCCAGAAGCGCCGACAGCGCGAGTGGGCCCTGCTCCAGCAGCTCATGGCCATCCGCCAGGAGCTCGAGCAGCTCGCCAAGGAGGAGGGCCGGCCCTCGCCCCTCTCGATCATCGGCTCGGGCGCCGCCGGCGGCAAAGGGCCCGCCGCCGCAGGGCGCAAAGCGCTCGGTGCGCCGGCTCCGGCCGGCGATGCAGACGAGGACGAGGACGACCTTGCCGAGCTCGAGCGCCGCGTCGCCGCCAAGAGCTTCTCGCCCGAGGCCAAACGGGTCGCAGAACGCGAGCTCAAGCGTCTCAAGAAGACGCCGCCGCAGGGCGCAGAGCACGGCGTCATCCGTGCGCTCCTCGTCCTCTCGCTCTCGTCCTCCTCGACCTCGAGCGGCGCCACTTACTCGCGCATCGGCGCTCTCCCTCCCTCGCAGGCAACTACATCGACACGCTCCTGTCGGTACCCTGGACGTCGACCGAGGCGACGCCGCTCGAGTTGTCGAGCTCGTTCGTCGCCGACGCGCGCAAGAAACTCGACGACGACCACTTTGGCCTCGGTGCGGCCGGGCCTTCTCTCCTTCGCCTCTTCCCCTATTGTGAGAGCAGACACTGATGACCGACTGGGCCCCCTCGCGCAGACAAGATCAAGAAGCGCCTCATCGAGTGGCTCGCCGTCCTGCGCCTTCAGCGCGAGCAGCACGCGTCGAACATCGACCCGTCGCCCACCTCGCCGAGCGAGACCTCTATCGCACCTTTCGACCCGACCGCCGCCGCCGACTCGACACCCGCACCGGCGTCGCCAAGTGCGAGCGCGCCCACCGCTTCGCCGTACCGAGCGCCGATCCTCCTCCTTCACGGTCCGCCTGGCACGGGCAAGACGAGCATCGCGCGCTCGCTAGCCGAGGCCATGGGCCGCAAGTTCGTCCGCATCTCGCTCGGCGGCGTCCGGGACGAGGCCGAGATCCGGGGTCATCGCCGCACGGTCCGTCTCTTCTCCCTTTTCCCCTCCCTCTCTCTTGCCGCCTGTCAGCTCGAACTGACGCTGGACTCGCACACCCGACAGTACGTCGGCGCCATGCCGGGCAAGATCGTCGCCGCGTTGCGCAAGGCGGGCGTCAGCAACCCGGTCGTGCTCCTCGACGAGGTCGACAAGATTGGGCACGCGAGCCACCACGGCGACCCGAACGCGGCCCTTCTCGAGGTGCTCGATCCGGTGCGTCGTCGCTGTCCACTTCGTGGCGCTCGGCGAGAGCGCGATCGAGCTAACTCTGCCACTCGCGCCCGCAGGAGCAAAACAACTCGTTCGAGGACCACTATCTCGGCGTACCGTGCGTCTCTCTCTCTCTTTCTCTCTCTCCCTGCCTGGTCATGCAGGTCATCGTCCTGACGTGCCGCGTTCTCTCGCTTGCAGGCTCGACCTGTCGCAGGTCCTCTTCATCGCGACGGCAAACTCGCTCGACACGATCCCGGAGCCGCTCTACGACCGCATGGAGGCCATCGAGCTCAGTGGCTACGTTGTGCGTCCTCAAGCCCCTCAGCTCCGTCCCTGGCCCCGCACTGACCTCTTCTCGCCGCCGCAGCACGCCGAGAAGCTCCACATCGCCCGCCAGTCGCTTCTCCCCAAGCAGCTGCGCGCTAACGCGCTCGAGTCGTCGCAACTCTCGATGTCGGACGCCGTCCTCTTGCGCCTCGTGACGGCATACACGCGCGAGGCCGGCGTTCGCTCGCTCGAGCGCGCGGTCGGGTCCGTCTGCCGGGCAAAGGCGGTCGAGCTCGCCGAGTCGGACGGCGGCGAGGGCGACAGCGCCCGCAAGACGGGCTACGTCGCCGAGGTGACCGAGGACGATCTCGAGCGCATCCTCGGGCCGCCGAGGTGGGAGGACGACGAGGACGACGGCGCGAGGGTCGGCGTCGCGACCGGGCTCGCGTACCAGGGCAGCGGGAACGGCGGCATCTTGCGTACGTCCCTCTTTCTCTTCTCCTCCCACACGGTACTTGCGTGTGGTCCTGACGGGCCCGCCATCGCTCGATCGCAGACATCGAGACGACGCACACGCCGGGCACGGGCACCTTCTCGCTCACGGGCCAGCTCGGGAGCGTCATTTCCGAGTCGGCGCACGTCGCTCTCGCGTGGGTCAAGGCGCACGCGTACGAGCTCGGCATCGCCGCCGACCGCGACTCGAACGCGTTCGCCAAGCTCGACCTGCACCTGCACCTGCCCGCCGGTTCGATCAAGAAGGACGGACCGAGTGCCGGCGTCGCGCTCGTCGTCGCCATCGTGTCCCTCAGTGCGTCGCCGTGTTTCCCTCTCTCTTGCGCTCTCGTGTCGGCGAGGAGCACAGACCTGACTGTGCGCTCGCCCCTCCTCTCTCGCAGTGCGCGGCATTCCGCCTCGGGCGCACACGGCCATGACGGGCGAGGTGACGCTCCGAGGACTCGTCACGCCGGTCGGCGGCATCAAGGAGAAGGTGCGTCGCCGCTCTCGTCGCCCTCGCCTCCAGTCGAGCCCGCCCCTGACCGGTCTTTCCCCCTCGCCCTCTCCCTCCCTTCCCCTCAACCTCTCCTACGCAGATTCTCGCCGCCCATCGCGCCGGGATCACTCGCGCCATCCTGCCCCTGCCCAACAAGCGCGACGTCGACGCCGATCTCCCCGCCCAGGTGCGCGCCGAGGTCGAATTCATCTACGTGCGCACCGTCGACGAGGCGCTCGACGCGGCGTTCGAGGGCGGCCTTGGGTCGCTCGCGAGGACAAAGGGTGACGAGGCGGGCGGGTGGGAGGTGCAGAGCCACTTGTAGAGAAGCGCGAGCGAGTTTTTCGAGTCCGAAACCCTGTCGCCGTTCCCTCTGTCACTCTCTTTCCGCACGCTCGGTCTTCGCTCGCCCTCTCTCAGCCGGGTCGCAAGAGAGATGATGAACAACAGGAGGCTTGCAAACGCGGCACAAAAGCCCGAGCGCGACGGTCGGCTACTGCAGGAGAGAGAGAGGGAAACGAGACGAGGAAGAGGTCCGAGAGCGAGGTCGTCATGCGGCCGTCGCGTACGGGTTGAACGGGGGAGGGGGAGCGGCGCCGGCGGGCGCTTCGCCGAGCGCTTGCGATGCCGGGGCGTCGAGCGAGCCAGCCGACATGGTCGGGACGGCGGCCGGGGTGTCCCTGCGGGCGCGAGCAAGAAGAGTCAGGGTACGGTTCGGCGAGGCTGCCGTCGCAACAAGCTGAGGGGCGCACCACTGGATGTTGAACTTGGTGACCCGGGGCTTGTCGGCGAGGACGTTGCGCACGAGGCCGTCGATGTGCTGGGTGGGATCGGGCGCCTTGAGCCCCTTCTCCTCGGCGCCCTCCTCGAACGACGCGTCGTGCTGCTGCTTGAGGGCCGGGTCGCCGTACTCGGTGTTGACGTAGTAGCCTATCCGGACAAACTCGGCGTCGTTGTACGAGCACGTGAGGAGGATCACGGTCACGCCAATGAGGTCCGAGGCCGGGATGCGCGAGGGCAGAGGTGCGGCGGCCTGCGAGATGAGTGGGGCCAGTCAGCTCACACTCGTGGTACCGACTCGACAGTCAACACGGGGAGGAAGAGGAGGCTCACCTCGAACTCGAAGCTGTTGACGCCGATGGGGACCGGGCCGACCATGCACGTGTCGAGCTCCTGGTCGTACGAATCGTTCTCGGCACTCCCGACGTACGTGAGCTTCCACTCGAGGTCTGTGCGCGGGGTCGGGCGAGGTCAGCTCGTGCTTGAGGAGGCAGGCCGGGCAAGGCGGAGGGAGGAGGAGGAGGGGGGCGCGAGACGGACCGTCCTGGAGCGGGGCCATGCACTCGAACGTGATCTTGAACAGGTACGGGTCGGTGAACTTGCCCGGGTTGTTGAGCACGGTGACATCGCTGTGCGGGAGGGCGACGAGGATGGACGCGACGAGATGAGGAGGAGGAGAGGGCGAGAGGGTGAGCACGGCGCGGAGGGGAGGAGCAGAGGGACCACGGCCGCGCACCTGATGTTGATGATGCTCATCGCGGCACTGGCTGGCGGCTAGCGAGTGTTCGGGCGAGAGACGAGAGGAGGGAGGGCGACGCGTTCGCTCGCGCGCGCCGTCTTCGCCGACCGCGCACAGTGGCTTGTCGCATCTCGCGCAGGACCCTGGTGCAGGCTGTTGTGGGACTCGCAAGCAGCACAGACGCGCCGCCCCGAAGCACAGGCTCACCGAGAGCGCAACCGCTCCTCCTCGCGCTCTCTGTCCGAGTCGACCTCGTCTCCTGTAGAGAGCAGCATGCATCGCTTTCTGGACATACGCGATCAGCTTTAAGCTCTCGGACCACAGGGTTTCTCGAGATGCGCGCCAAAAACCTTGTCTTCCTCGCCGCGGTCCGAGCTACAGCTCCTGCACCTCCTGCTTGACACCGACGAGCTCGCCCTTCTCGCCCGCCGTCCCCACCGCCGTCGCCACGGGCAACGCAGGTCCGCCGCTCTCGCCCTTGACTGCCGACGCCGACAGCTCGAGCCCCTCGACGTCGTGCACGACGAGGTTGGCCGGCAGCGCGAGCGGGACCGACGGGCTCGCGCGCAGCTTGGCCACCTCGGCGCCGAACGTCGCCCACAGCTGCAATTTGACGGGAAGCTGCGGGCGAGCGCGAGCGAGAGTCAGGGTCTGTCGCGCGGAGCGCGCGCGAGAGAGGAGGAACGGACCGGATACGCCGCGACTCGGCCCGACGTCGAGGGAAGGCAGTAGAAGTAGGTGACGGGACGCTTCTTGTCGTGGGAGGTGGAAGGAAGATGCGCGATGGCAAAGCCCTGCAGGCCGATCTGCGCCTTGACGAGCGGCGTCTTGTTCGCCTTGCGACCGGAGCTGGCAGTCGGCGGCGGCGGCGGCGCAGGAGGTGAGGCGAGGTAACGAAGGACCGTCTCGCAGACCTTGATGCCGACAAATGCGACGAGCCTGTGCGTCCGAAAGTCAGGAACTGATCGTGTTCATCGTTCGAGGACGTCGAGAGAGAACGAGAGGGACGCACTTGGGCCGATAGCGAGCGACCTTGGCGAGGAGGCCGGGGACCGCGGCTTCAAGCTCGTCTTTGCCGAGCTCTGACGCCTGCGTGGGCGGGCTCAGTCAGCGATGTTGGGCGTAGGGGTCCCAAGTCGACGGGGAGGACAGACGACGCACCTCGCGCGTGGGCCGCTCGATCAGGTTCGTGATGCCGATGTTGTAGTCCTCGGGCAGGGTTCGACTCGACTCGGGCGACAGGACGGAAGGCGTGAGCCGCGCGGCGTGCAGGCACTTGTAGAAGTGGTTGGCGGGCGAGGCGTCTGCGGAAGTGCGAGGGGTCAACTCGAGGCCGGGTGTGCTCGACGCGAGAAGGGTCGGGAGGAAGCGGACGCACAATGTAGCTGGAGCTCGGCGGTGCGAATGCCCGGGTTCTCGCCGCAGAAGAGGACGTCGAGGCCGTCCTGGATGCGGTCCGACAAAGGCGCCGCGCCGAGGTGGCTGTACGGGCCTTTGCTGCGCGGCTTTTTGGCGGTCGGCTCGCCCGTCTTGACCTTGGACTTGGACTCGAGCTTCTGCGTGCCCGTGTTGCGGCGCTTGGCCGGGCGAAGTGGCGACTCGAGCGAGAGGAGGGTCGCGTTGGACGAGTGGCGCGACGAGCGGCGCAGGGCGGTGTCGGGCGCATGGGCGGCGGACGGGCGGGCCGAGTGCTGCATCTAAGCGGGTAGACGAGCGGGCGAAGTCGAACGTCGAGTGAGGAGGACGAGAGGGGAGGGTCGAACGCCGACGAGCGATGAGGTCGCCTCGCGACGACAGGGCTGCAGCGGGCGCATCTGGGTGCGTGTGCTCCCTGGAGCCAAGCTGAGCGCAGCTCCTGGGCGGGCGAGCGACGACGCGGAGCGACAGGCAACCAGCTTGTACTCGACCGCGACCTCGGCCGGGAGGTGCCTCGAAGGCGGTTCAGACCTTAGCAGCGTCCAAATACGAAGCGCAGTAACTCGCAGTTGTAATCTGCAGGATCCGCCGGGCTCGGCGCCGACTCTGTCTCTCTCTCGCTCTCGTTCGAGCCGTCGGTCGAGCTCCCGGAGCTGCGAGATACTTCGGCGAGGGATGCGACAGGTTTAGAGGTGCGGAGCGCATCGCTGAGAGCGGCGGGAGGGCGCGACCGCACTCTGTGCGAAAAGTGGCGGGACGCGGCGCTCTTGCGCTCGCACCTTCCTCGTCCGGCCCAACCGCCCTCTCTCTCGCGCGGCCCAGAAACAGGCGCACACGGCGCGAGTCTCAGAGAGCCGCACTCGCACGGTCCGGACCTGGCGTCGGTTCCTCGCCGAGCACCTTGACGAGATGGCGGCGCTCGTCTCCTCCTCGTCCTCCTCCCCCTCGCCGGCCTCCATCCTCGCCTCGACAGCGTGAGCAGTGCCACGATGGGCTACAGCCGCCACTCGGACTCGGCCATTCGCCTGCCGCCTTCGCCCGACCGCGTCGTCCTCCTCGGCGGCCTCTCGACCGCACCTGCACGCGCGAGCCGACTGCGCCTCCCTCAGCTCGTCGCCCTCGTCCTCCTCGCCAGCGCCTGCTTTCTCGGCGGCATCTGCGTCGACCGCAACTCGACCGCTGCCGTCGACTCGGTCGTGCCGTCGTCCCTCGGGCCCTTGCGCACCTCCAGCTCGAGGTGGTCGGGCTCGTCCAAGGTCGCCCCGCCGCCGTCGTGCCGGCTGTGCGACGCCGACCCGACCAACCCGCTGTGCGAGTACGGCGACTCGGCGATCCGCATGTCGCGCGCGTTCGAGGGCTCGGGCGTGCGCGTGCGCAAGTTCCTCGCCAAAGCGCTCCGAGGCGACGAGGTCAAGATTGGCGTCATTGGCGCGTCCGTCACGGCCGGCCACGGGCTTGATCACGGCGGGCACGTCGCAGGGCCGTCGTACCCGTACCGGTGGCTCGCCGACTTCCAGAAGACGTTCCCGCGCGCCAAGCTGTTCGACGGGTCGGCGCCGGCCATGGACTCGGCCTTCTACAGCTACTGCTACCGCGCCATGGTTCCAGAGTCCGACATCGACCTATGGCTCATCGAGCTCGACATCAACAAGTGCGTCCCCGCCCTCTCTCTCTCCCTCTCTCGCCGCTCGGGCCCGACTCGAGGTTGACCTTCCTTCTCGTCCCACAGCGACAACAGCCAGGAGACGATGCGCGCCGACGACATCCTCATGCGCTCCCTGTTGAGCCAGCCGAACGAGCCCGCCGTCATCCGCCTGTCGGTCCTCGCCCTCCTGTTTGACGACATGGCTCGAGGCGCCGTCTCGACCCTGCTCCTGTCGCAGTTCTTCGACGTGCCGGTCATCAGGTGCGTCTCTCTCACGCTCTCTTGCCTTCTCTGAGTGCCACGGCCCTGATACATGGCTACCTACAGCATCAAGAACTTCCTGCTGCCGGCGCACATCGCCAACCCGGACGACGTGCCCAACTGGTTCACCAAGTTCTGGGACGGCAAGCCCGACACTGTACGTCCTCTCTCCTCAAGACTGAGTCCTCGAGCACGTTCTGACGAGCTCGACGTACCGCAGCGCCACGTCAACATTCGCGGCCACATCGCCCTCGCCGACATGCTCTCGCTGTACATGCACGAGCAGACGTGCATCACGCGCCAGGAGCAGGCGCGAGGCCGCCTCGGCGCCAAGAAGGGCTCGTTCTGGCCTGCCGACGAGCTGTGGGGGACCGTGCCTCGACTGCGTGCGTGGGAAAAGGTCCGTCTCTCTCTCTCTCTCCATCGTCTTGGTCGCTCGGACCCTCTCCTGACGCCCACCCTTGCCTGCAGTTCTCGCCGACAGACCGCGTCGACCACGTCGAGCCGACGTGCCGCTTTGCGTCGTCCAAGTCGCACCCGCTCGTGGCACTCGGCGCCTCGCAGAGCCTCGGCGCCGTTCCGGTCGGCGGCGACGACTCGGCGTCGCTCTCGCCCGAGTCGATGGGTGACGGGTGGCAGCGCATCGAGTGGAACGACAAGGCGGCGCTCGCGAGTCGCGAGGTCGGCTCGGTCGTGCGGTTCGAGGTCGAGGGCTCGACCATCGGCGTCTCGGTCGTGCGTCCCGCTGCCTCGCTCTCTCTTTTCTGAGGCCCAACACTAACTTTTCCTGGCGCCCTCCTCGCAGTGGCAGTGGGCTGGTCCGCCGCACGGCCTCCCGCACGAGCTTCCCGGCCAGGCGTCGTGCTGGGTCGACGACCAAACGTTTGACGCGACCATCGTCGACGCGTTCTCGCCCGGCGTCGCCGGCTCGCGATGGTTCCAGGTCGCCGATGGGCTCTCGACGGGCAAGCAGTGCGTCCTCTCTCTCCCACCCGTTCTCTTGTCCTCGAGACGTACGACCTGACGCCCGGACCCCTCTTTCCCCTCGCCTCAGCATCGTCTCGTGCCAGATCGTGCGCGCCTCGTCGACGGCAGGTCACGAGGTCCGCATCATGGGCATCGTCTCGCACTAGTCTCTCTACTTCTGTCCCCCTCTGTAACCCCAATTCTGTGCTCGGTCGCCTGTGTAGCCTCGCTCGATACCTCTCTCCCTTGCGTATCGCCTCTCGCACTAGACGCCTTCTCCTTTTTGGAACGCAGCTGGCCTGCGCACTCACGCACCTCTCGGAAGGACTCGACGAGCAAGAGAGAGAGAGGTACTGCAGTTCGTCGATGCATGAGAGGGCCGGCGGGATACACGAGGAGGGGGAGGGAGGCAAGGTGCAACAGACGAGGAAAGGGGAGAGTACAGAGCAAAGAGGATGAGAGACGGGTGGAGAAGATCGTCTATGTAAAGGAAGGGAGGGCGGCGAGGGCAGCTGGTACAACCGGGAGAGGGAAACCCGAGACGACGGCGGGGAGCAGAAAGAGGCTCAGGCATCGCCGCCCTTGCCGCCCTCGTGCGCCTTGTCGCCGCCGTCGAGCTTGACTCTCGACGAGCTCGCGTCGGCCGACTCGTCGCCGTCGTCGTCCTCGAGCGCGAGCGACCGCTTGCCCTTGACCGACGAGCTCGATGCAGCGGCCGACTTGCCGAGCTTGGTCGACGCGCTCGAGGTCGACTCGCTCGAGGCGCTGCGCTCGAGGTCAGCGGGTCGCGTGCGGGGCGACGAGGGCGCCGAGTCGAAGGTGGCCGACGAGGACGACGACGAGGAGGGCGCGCCGAGCGCGTGCGGCGGGCCATCGGCGGGAGCCGAAGCGCCAGCGGCGACATCGGGCGAGGGCGAGGGCGAGGGCGCGCGACGAAAGGCAGAAAGGAGGAGCGCCGAGCGTGCCGTGCTCGTGCGGCCGGGCAGAGTCGGGCGCGCCGGGCGTGCGGGGACGTCGGCCGGGGTCGGCGCCGAGAGGTGCGCTGCGGGAGGGTACGCCGGCGGGTGCTGATCGTTCGAGAACGCTTCTGCGCCCGTCGAGGCGGCGGCGGCTGGATCCCGCGAGGCGCGGATCGCCGCCTCGTACTCTGCGGCACTCGGGATCACGCTCGACTCGCCCGCGGCGGCGGCCTCGGCGCGTATCCGCTCGGCCTCGTCGGCGGCGTCGCCCTCGCCGCCGGTGTAGCCGGGCAGGCCCGAGTCGACGTAGTACCGCGGGAGCTCGTCGAGCGTGGCCGGGACGGCGGGGACGAGGCCTCCTCCTGGGCCGCCGCGCTCGACCATGTCGAGGTCGTCCCAGCCGTCGTCGTCGTCGCGTGCGCCGATGCGGCGTCCACCCTCGGCGACCGTCTCGCCGGCCGTCTGGCGGCCTCGGCGCCTGCGCCTGCGCGCGGTCGCGGCGTACGACGGTGGGGGCTCGCGCGGGATGCGGTGGGGCGGGCCGGCGATGTGGATGCCGAGCCACTTGAGGTGGATGCCCTTGTCGGGGACAAAGTAGGCGCGGAAGGTCGGGCGGTGGTAGAAGCGGCGAATGTAGAAGTAGCGCGAGCACAGCAGGGCGACGACGACGCCGGCGACGACGACGACCGAGACCCAGGTGACCCTGCGTCGAGACGAGACAAGGTCAGTTTAAGTGACTCGGATGGGCGAAGGCGAGGGGAGGAGGGCGACGGCGGAAGATGCCGAGGAGGGATTAGTGGGTCGAGGGAGGGGGGAAGGGCGAACGGACCAAGTCGACGAGAAGCCGCTGCTGCCGCCCCAGTACGGGTAGCCGTAGGTCGTGGTCGGGGTGCTGTTGCCGGGCGAGGCAGTCCAGGAGAGTCAGTTGCGCGGACGCGGACCGCGGCGGGACGAGAGTGGACTCACGCCGAGCTAGACGAGCCCGTGACCGTCGGCGTCGTCGAGGAGGCCGTGGTCGACATGGGGGCGAGTCGGCGAGGGCGTGGACGGCGTGGTGGAGCACTGGCCTGCGTGCGCTGGTTCGATGGCGGCCGGAGAGAGGGCGCGCCGAGGAGGGGGACTCCAGGTGGAGGAGGAGGTGCGGGGCCGCCGATGCGAAAGAAGGGGGAACGCGGTGGCGGTGGTCGAGTGCGGCTGCTGAGCCGAGTGCGCCGTGGGCAGCTCTAGCAGGCAGAGCGGGCGCGGTCGAGCGAAGAGAGAGAGCGCGGAGAGTGGAGAAGGTGAGGCGACCCTTCGAAATCGCCGGCCGTCGCGACCCTCGCTCGACGAGGCCGTGCTTGGCTAGATCCGCTGTACGAGTACCTCGTGAGCCTCTTGAGCCGCCCCACAGATCGTATCGAGGAGCGTGGTCGCTCGCCGTGAGCGCTCTCCCCCGCCTCGACGCGTCCTCCTCGACCTCTGGCTTCATCTCTCGCTCGCCCGCCCTCGACTCTCGCCTCGCACCGACCATGGCGCCACCAGGCTCGGCTGCCATCGCCATCGTCCGCCCACCGCCAGACCACCCGAGCCTGTCGCCCGTCACCCAGCCCGCCAAAGCTCCCTCGCCCGCTCCCTCGTCGTCGTCCACCTCGTCCCCCGCCAAACCCGACAACCGCCTGTGCCGCAACCTCCAGCTCTTTGGCAGCTGCAAGTACGCCGACCGCGGCTGCCAGTTCTCGCACGACCTTCCCGGCGCCAACTCGTCGTCCAAGCCTGCCAGTCCGGCTCCGCCTCCGTGCGTCGTCCTCTCTCTCCTGTGCACCGTCCCACCCCTGACCGTCATCGCAACCTGCAGGACCTCTTCGTCGACACCCTTCTCGGCCGCCGCCCTCACCGCCGCCGTCTTTGTTCCCGGCGGCGCACCTAGCTCGGCCACGAGCGATGCGGGACGCGCACCGCCCTCGGGCACCCTCACCCCGGGCGGCTCCGCCATGGCCGTCCAGGCCGCCGAGTTTGTCCCTCGACGAGCAGCGACGTGCGTCCGCTCTCTCCCTCTCGTATCACACGCGTGCGCGCCCAGCTCACGTCTTCCCTCGCCTCCGTACTCGCAGTCCGGCCCTGTCCGAGGACGCCGCGTTCTTTGCTCCGGCGGGCCACGAAGCCGTCGAGGCCGGCCCGAGTACGGGCTACAACCAGGCCATGGCCGACGTCGGCCACCAGAACGCCGACGGCCTCGCCGAGTACTACCACCAGGCCATGGACCTCGTGCGTCTCTCGCTCTCTCCTTCTTCGTCCCTTCCGCCCAGGACCTCTCCCTGACCCGTTGCGCCCTGTTCCACAGAACGGCCCCGAGTACGGTGCCGCCCCGTCCGAGTCGTCGGCCCTGAATCCGTACAACTTCTCGCACGCGCTCGCGCCGCCCGGGCCCAACGGCGGCGCGCCCGCCCTCCCGGGCTTGAGCCACGCCGCCGTCGCCGCCGCCGAGGCCGCCTACTACAACGGCGGCATGGGCGCCATGCAGATGGGCCACTTTGTCCGACAGCCGGTGCGCCCCGCACCGTCCTCCGCGTCGCCGAGCACGACTTGGTGCCGAGACCTGACCCTCGTCTCGTCCCCCTCCGCAGCTCCAGTACCACCTGTATCACCCTCTGCCCTCGACCAACCCCCGACACCTGTCGTCGACCCTCTCGGCCCGCACGGGCTCGCACTCGCCCACCACCTCGTTCTTCCTCCCGCCCGCGCTCCACATCTCGCTCACGCAAAAGTCCGAGGCGACCCAGGCGACCCCGAGTGTCGACATGAAGCTCCCCGACGAGGTCGGCGGCTACACGGGCCTGCTGCCGCTCGACAAGCCGCCGAGCGAGGGCGGCAGCGGCAGCGGCGGGCTCGGCTGGGCCGGGTACCGCGGGTGGGTGTACAAGGCGTGGAAGGAGGGCGAGGGCAGGTGCTACATGCTCCGCAGGATCGAGGGTGCGTCCCCCTCTCTCATTGTCGACCCCCTTTTCTCCCTCAAAGGCGCCCACACTGACCTCTGCTCCTCTCTTTCCTCGGCCGACAGGCTTCCGCTTGCAGCACGAGGCGGCAATAGCGGCGGTCGAGAAGTGGACCCGTGTGCGGCATCCCGGGCTCGTCGGCGTCCGCGAGGCGTTCACGACCCGCGCTTTCGGCGACCAATGTGCGCCCCCCTGCTCCCTCTCTTTCCCCCCTCCCTCCTCCCGACCGCCTCGTTGACCCGAGCCCACGCCCTCGCCACAGCCGTTATCTTCGTGTACGACTTCCACCCGTGCTCGCAGACCCTGTACGAGGCGCACCTGTCGCCGCTCGCGACCTTGCCGCCCAACCCGTGGTCGACCCCGCTCACGCACCACGCCCATCACGGCGGCGCCGCCGCACACGCCGCCCCGTACCGCTCAGCCGCACGACCCGCCCTCCCGAGCACCGCCGGCGGCCCAGGAGGAGGAGCAGGTGGCGCCGGCACGAGCCCGGTCCTGCCCGAGCGCGTCCTGTGGAGCTACGTCGTCCAGATCGCGTCGGCGCTCAAGTGCGTGCACAACAGCGCGCTCGCCGTGCGCACTATCGACGTCAGCCGCATCCTCGTCACGGGCAAGAACCGCGTCCGGCTCGGCGGCGCTGGCGTCCTCGACTGCTTGACGTGGGACGGCGGCCAAAGCATCCCGGCGCACCAAGTGCGTCCTTCTTTCTCTCCCACGTCGTCTGGCGACCCGACTGACTGGTCGCCCCTGTCGAGCAGCAAGACGACCTCCTCTCGTTCGGCAAGCTCATCATCGCGCTCGCGTGCGGCTCGACGTCGGCCGTGCACAACCTGCCCAAGAGCGTCGACCACATCTCGCGCATGTACTCGCCCGACCTCAAGAACGTCGTCCTGTACCTCTTGAGCAAACCCGGGCCTCGCAAGACGATCGAGGAGGTCCTGGTCCTCATGGGCCCGCGGGTCGTCGACGAGCTCAACTCGAGCCTCGTGTGCGTCCCCCGTCTCTCTCTTTCTTTCGGCCTCGCCGGACTCGAGACTCACTCGCACTATGTGCCCGCAGTGCCGAGGACACGATCGAGCACGAGCTTATGCGCGAGCTCGAGAACGGCCGGCTCGTCCGCCTCTTGGCCAAGTTTGGCTTCATCAACGAGCGTCCCGAGTGCGTCCCTTGCCCTCCTCCTCTCTTTTCGACGCCCGGCGCACTCACTGACGGCGACGCGCCCTCTGCAGGTTCGACCACGACCCGCGTTGGGCCGAGACGGGCGACCGGTACCTGATCAAGCTCTTCCGCGACTACGTCTTTCACCAGGTGGATGAGACGGGCCGCCCTGTCACCGACCTGAGCCACGTCTTGACGGCGCTCAACAAGGTGCGTCCCGCCTGTTTCTCTTCCTCGCACTCTCAACCCGCCCGACACTGACTCGCTCAACTCGCCCGCAGCTCGACGCCGGCGTCGACGAGAAGCTCATGCTCGTGTCGCGGGACGAGCAGAGCTGCCTCATCGTCAGCTACCGCGAGGTGCGCTCCATCTCTCCTTGCCCTGTCCCTGCCGCACGAAGGACTGACCCTTGCCCGCTCGCGCAGATCAAGAACTGCGTCGAGAGCGCCTTTGCCGACCTGTCACGCAGCTGAGACTCGCCCACCCGTGTATCGTGGAGGCATCCTGCATCACTGCATCGTTCACCATGCTCGAGACGGTGTTCCTTTTCCCCTCGAGAGCCTGCGAGAGGGGCGAGCGGCGGTCGGAGTGTCGGAAGAGCGAGAACAGTCTGCGCGAGTTGGGCTTCTTCCCGCACGCGGTCGCTCTCGGGTCGTGAAGCGTCAGCAAACACCGCGAAGCCTCCAGCTCGCGAGGAAGTGCGACGACCGACGTGAGCGAAGCGGTGCTCGGAGACGGTGCTCGGTTCTGCCCTCCTCACCCGCTCTCGGCGCAGGCGATTGCTGCCTGCTATGGGGACATCCGCAGCACCTCCAGCATGCTCTCCCACGTTCCAGGCGCACCTCGAGCGCTTCCGCTGCTCGCCTTCCCCCACCTCGACCCGGCGCCCATCTCGACTCGCCGAAACCGACACGACGACGGCCTCTGCACCTTCAGCGGTCGTTCTCGACAGTTCTGCAGCCGACCAGAGCCCCGCTCGACCAACCAGATCGCCGCTTAAGCGCCCTCGCACTCGTGTCCTCAGCACTCCACCTCGAGCCGATGGGACGAGCGCTCACTTTCAGCCCGGGCCCGAGGCGACCGACGACCTCAAGCCCAGCGTCATCGACGACCTACCCGTCACGCCGTCCAAGAAGAAGAAGAAGCGGCCTCCTCGACCTTACGCCGACCCGTCCGAGTACGCTCACCTCGGCGCCGACCCGCTGCAAGACTACCTCGACGACGGCCTGTCGGTCCTCCTGTGCGGCATCAATCCGGGCGTCAAGAGTGCCCAGCTCGGTCTACACTGTGCGTCCACGCCTCGCGCCCTCGTCATCTCTCTCACGCCGACGGAGCTGACCATGAACGCCCTCGCCCTCTTTCACAGACGCCAACCCGACCAACCACTACTGGCGCTGCCTCGCCGAGTCGGGCATGACGCCTCGACGACTGCACCCGTCCGAGGGCCCGACGCTGCCCAGCTTGGGCATCGGCTCGACCAATCTCGTCGAGCGGCCGACAGCCGAGGTGCGTCCCCTACCGCTTGGCCTCTGTCGCCGCTCCTCGTCCGGCGACAATTGGCTGAGCCTTGCCTTTGTCGCGCAGATGAGCGAGATCTCGAACCAGGAAATGGCGGCTCGAGTGCCGGGTCTTTTGCGCAAGGTCGTGCGGCACAAGCCCAAGTGCGTCCTTCTCTCCCTCTCTCCTCCTGAATGCCCGCTCACGAACGCCGTCTTGTGTCGTGCAGGATCCTCGCTTTTGTCGGCATGAAGATCTGCGAGGTCGTCCTGCGGTACCTGCACAACCTCCCTCGACGATCCGCGTCCTCGACCTCGTCCACCTCGACGTCGCCCGGCCGCCGCAAGGCCATGCCCAAGGTCAAGATCGGCGTCCAGCCTGTCGTGATCTCGCTCGGCGACGATGGCCTCGAGGCCCCGGGCAAGATCTACCTGTGGTGCTTGCCATCGACGAGTGCGCGCGTCGTTGAGTACCAGGTGCGCCCGGCCTCTCCCTCTCGCTCGCCCGTTCACCTGCACGGTCCCTGATGTCTCTCGCATGGACAGCTCGTCGACAAGGTCAAGATCTGGACGCGCCTCAAAGCCGACATGGACCGCCTCGCGCAAGACCCGTCCGCCGACCTCGACCTGCCCGAGGGGACAGTCGCTCACCCCGTCGAGGCGCTCTTCCCGGCGCAGCAGAGCGGTACCGCAGGGTCGAGGGCATACACGGTGACGCTCGTCAAGGAGGAGGATTTGCGCGAGGGAGAATCGATGACTCGGCGCGGGGAGGAGGCCAGGCCGGCCATGGAGATCAAGAAGGAATGAGCGGCGGGCCGCCGCCCTTGTCGTAGCAGCATGTATTGGCAGGTCTGCGTCCCCGAGTCCTATTCTCTATGTGGAGACGCTCAATCCAGGATTGAGCAGCGAGACCTTCCCGATCGGGACCCCACCCCAACCCGTCCATTTTCAAACTTCTCGTACAGCGCTGCTACAGCAATGTAGACACGCGCATCGGATAGAGCATGCTTCGAAACATGAGAGAGGAAGTGGACGGAAGTCGAGAGCGAGAGACCAAGCGAGGAGAGCGTTTCCCCCGAGTCGCTCCTTCTTCTGTCGGGGTTAGGGTTAGGGTTAGGGTTAGGGTTAGGGTTAGGGTTAGGGTTAGGGTTAGGGTTAGGGTTAGGGTTAGGGTTAGGGTTAGGGTTAGGGTGAGCAGAGATATCAACCTGAGTTTAGGCCCCATTACGCCA